GTAAACAATAAGGCATTGCATTGAAAGCGAAGGCAAACGCAATGCAATTCATATGAGAAGTGAGTGTTTGCTATGAAATTGAAGTTCATTTGAATGTCATTACTGCATGCATTGCCAGTGACTATGGGATCAGTTGTCAAGTGATCGTCGCGTCCATCGGTCCCCCGAAGACACGACACACCGCGTGGAGACAATGATTGGCGACAACCCGTCCATAGGCGCTAAGAGGCCGGGCGTGAGTTGGCGTCACGCGAGCGCCGGTGCCCTCAGCGGGTGTGCGACCCGTTTCGTGACCCAACCGTTTGATGTGATTAAGATTAGGTTTCAGCTCCAGTTGGAGCCCATCCACCGCAAGAGCACCACATCTAAGTACAGGTCCATCGGACAGACGGTGCGCACCATCGCCGCAGAGGAGGGCCTCTCCGGCCTCTGGAAGGCCCACCTCTGCGCCCAACTCTTGTCGTGTGTCTACGGAATGATTCAGTTCTCGACCTTTGAATTGTACACTCAGTTAGTGAACAGATCATCGCTGGTCACCACTACCGGTGCGAATGATCCCCAGCGACAGCCCTTTCTGTCCACTCATCAGCCATTAGTGCACTTCTGTTGCGGGTCTTTGGCCGGACTGAGCGCCACTCTCGTCGCCCATCCTATTGATGTGATTCGCACCAGAATTATAGCCCAATCGGAGCCCAAGACCTACACGTCGACCCCCAACGCCTTCAAGACCATTGTCCGGACGGAGGGCTATCGGGCGCTGTTCAGGGGTTTAGTGCCAACTCTTATCCAAATCGCGCCGTTGACTGGCATTCAGTTCACTGTCTATAATAAGTCTCAACGGCTTTGGGACACATATGTGGGACCGATGCAGTTGTCTGAAGAACACCGAAGAAGTGATAAAATGCAAAGATTTCTGTTTTTTGAGAAGACATTCATCTGCGGCGGTGTCGCGGGTCTGACCGCAAAGCTAACTGTCTATCCGATGGACTTAATTAAGAAACGCCTTCAGGTGGAGGGCTTCCAGAAGGCGAGACAAGGCTTCGGCGCCGTCGCCACATATAATGGGTTCATAGACTGTGTCCTCAAAATCATGAGACAGGAGAATGTGTTCGCCTTTTATAAGGGCCTCAGCCCTAGCCTTATGAAGGCTGCCGTCACTACGGCTCTCAACTTCTCTCTCTATGAAAATGTCTACAAATATCTCTCAAGTCATTGAATTTGATGATTATCTGAGTGTTTGTTTGTTTCTATAGTTTTATATACCGATAGAGTGTTTTAATTAACTTTAAACTAACTTACGGTATAATAAAATTTATTCAAATATTACATAATATTTATGTGATATATTTGAATGCAAATTTAAAGTTTTGTATATTTTTCGTAAATGTAATATAATTTTAGTTTTATATAAATTAATACAGATTATATGAAATTTAGTTAGAAGTCTACATCTAAATATTAAGTCTAAAGTGATTGTGATATCAATAGACTCTATTGAATAGAGTGTCAAACAAATGTTTGTTTTTTATAAACTTATAAATTATTCACTTTAAATGTTCAGTTAGTTTTGAAATGTACTCAATTTTATACGAAATGATCTCTGAATTTATTAGCAATCGAATAATATATTTGTATAAATACTCACTAATTATAAATTATTTCTAAATAAACTGATTAATGAATCACGAGATTTCCAATTTAAACCTCTTAATTGTCTAATGTTTTCAACGGATATTAAAATGACACCTATTTTTCACTAATAGACAGTAATATCGGAGAATCAGTTGAGATAATAGTAATAATGTGTCGATTGTTTCGATGGATATGTTGTGCGAAGAAGGAGTCACCGAAACCGCGGTCTCCAAGAAAGTCTAAACCTCGCGCCAAAAGGGACGGTAAGGATATTGTGCCGAAGGATAACTGGAATCAGTTTGAAATCAGTGGTAAAGTTAAGGAATCGGTTCTGAAGTTCAAAATACCCGAAGAGTTTCAGACAGTAGACGATTGCTTGAAGGCTCAGAAGCTCATTAAGAAGGAGCAGTTAGGGTCGGGTGCCTTTGCACATGTGTATCGGGTGATTGATATTGAAACCAAAGACGAGAAGGCCGTGAAGTCATTCAAATTAGACGATAGGCTTTCCCCTAAAGAAACGATTGATAACTTCATGACTGAGCTGATGGTGATGACAGTCCTCGACAAACACCCGAATATCGTCCAAATCTACGGCTCTTTCATAATAATCGACAGTTTGAAGAAACAGAGGAAGTGTTACATAATCATGGAGTTAGCAAACGGAGGCACAGTATTGGACAGTATGATCGCCAGTATGGGCCCCAACGGACCCGTATACCAGCCGTTAGGTGAAGACAAGGCGAAAGACTATTTCAGCCAAATATTTAGTGGAATAGAGTTTTTGCACTCAAAACGGATTGCACACAAAGAT